CTCTCTCTCTAATAAATAAATAAAGTCTTAAAAAAAAAAATCCTGGTGCAGACTAATGATTTCTAGGATTGTCACTGTAATATTTAGTCATTTTTTAAAAACATGCACTGTATTTAATCAATACCCAGACACACGCACCACAGTGCAACTGTGGGCAGGAGAAACTGCCAAACTCCCAGGAGAGAGCACCAAAACTGCAAGGCAGTGAGCATCCAATTATCTGGACATTCCTTCCAACTCTGGCAGAAAGCACGTAAATTCCAGGGACGACTCAAGAGAAACAGAGTGTAAGCTGTCAAATCAGAAGATGTCAGCATCAATCTTGCAGAACAGAATCACTAAGTGACACGAAGGCACTGTGTCATACTATAATCCACAGTGTTTTCTTCTTTCCTGACAATCGAAATAACATAAACCTTAATTGATGGCATCTTCGATTCAGGACGATATGGTCTACTAAAACAAGTACACTCTAAAAGGCAAAGTGAACAAAAGTCCTTTCAAACACTGAGCTCCCGTATAATATTTGTTTTGATAGCCTGTCTTAATTTATGTTTGTGAATGAAGGACAGAATCTTAAAACTACAACGTTTGGCATTATCCCTATCAGCTTGCCATCAAAAACAAAGAACCATTTTCCTTGTTTGCTGAACCGCGAATGGTGTAAGAGAGAGTTCAACCCTGAGAGTTCAATCCTTTCCAACAATGAAGCCTAAAATGGGATCTTTCACGTGGAAGGCAGCCTTGTACGGAGGCAGAAGCCCACACCAAGGGGCCATGGCTAGGGCAGCTCAAGGAGCCTGGAGCCTGGCCTCTGGACCAGCACCAGGGGGCAACAGCCCGGACTCAGCAGGCCAATGGGTGCGTCCCACACATCAACACACAACACGCCTGGAACCTTGAGTGGATACGTCCTAAAAACTCACAAGATGTAAACATCAGTCTATAAAAGTCTACGCTGACTCCTCCATGTCTTCCAAAACTATAGGTTCCTTCACGTGACTAGTTCTTATCTGGATCATGCTCCCCCACATACCCAAGTCTCATCCTCTCGTGCTTCTCTCTGACTGGACCCCATTTTCCTGCCCCATCAACACACCTGTTGTTGCTCTCCCATCCTTTCTCTCTCTCTCTCAACTGGGAATCATGCTCAGGTAAATACTACTCTATATTGTTTCCTGAACTTTTTAGAGTTTGTACGTTTCTTGTGTGTAACTTTAAAGAAAACAGACCATAGTTCTGTCTTTCAAAAATACTTAAATTCATTTTCACTACTGAGGGCCATGGCTAACTGTAGGAGGATAGACACGTAGGCCAATGGAATGGAACTGAGGGACCAGAAATAAACACAAATGTCTATGGCCAATTTTTTTTTTTTTGACAAGGCCATTCATTGGGGAAATAGTCTTTTCAACAAATGGTGCTGGAACCACTAGATATCACATGCTAAAGAACAAAGTTAGACCCCTATCTCACACCATATACAAAAATTAACTCCAAATGGGTCAACCTAAATATAAGAGCTAAAAGTGTAAGACTCTCAGAAGAAAACACAGAGGTAAATCTTTTTTTTTTTTTAAAGATTTTATTTATTTATTTGACAGAGAGAGACACAGCGAGAGAGGGAACACAAGCAGGGGGAGTGGGAGAGGGAGAAGCAGGCTACCCGCAGAGCAGGGAGCCCGATGCGGGACTCAATCCCAGGACCCTGGGATCATGACCTGAGCTGAAGGCAGTCGCTTAACCAACTGAGCCACCCAGGCGCCCTCACAGAGGTAAATCTTAATGACTCTGGATTTGATGATGTTTTCTTAGAGCAAAAGCATGAGTAACAAAAGAAAAAAAAAAACATAAATGGACTTCTTCAAAGTTAAAACCTTTTGTGCATCAAAGGACAATATCAAGACAGTGAAAAGACAAACTACAGAATGGTGGGAAATATTTGCAAGTCACATATCTGGTAAGACTAGTATCCAGTATATATATAAAGAACTCCTACAACTCAATAAAAAGATAAACAGCCCAATTAAAAAATGGGCAAAGGATCTGAACAGACATTTTCCATAGAAGATATACAAGAGCACCTGGCTGCCTCTGTTCATAGAGCGTGTGGCTCTTGATCTCGGAGTCGTGAGTTTGAGCCCCACACTGGATGCAGAGATTACTTAAATAAATAAAAATTTTTAAAAAACCACAAAGAAGACATACAAATGGCCAATAAACATATGAAAAGATGCTCAACATCATTAGTCATCAGGAGAATACAAATCAAAACCACAATGGGGTACCACTTTCTAACCACTAAAATGGCTATAATCAAAAAATAAATGTCAGTAAGGATGTGATTGTGAAGAAACTGAAAATCTTATACACTCCTAGTTACAATGTAAGTGCTGTAGCCACCCTGGAAAACTGTTTGGCAGTTCCTCAAAATGTTAAATGCAGAATTACCATATAATCAAGTAATTCCAATCCTAAGTATGTATCTAAGAAATGAAAGATATGTCCACCATAAGAGCCTATGTCCACTTAGAAACTTGTACATGAATGTGCATAGCGCAGTATTCACAACAGTCAGAAGATGGAAATGACCCAAAGGTTCATCAACACACGAATGGATAAATAGTGGTATATACATATAATGGAATAATATTCGGCCATCAAAAGGAATGAGGTCCTGGTACATGCCACCACGTTGATGAACCTCAAAAGCATTACACTAAGTGAACGAAGCCAAACACAAAAGGCTCCGTATCGTATGGATCCCCTGTATATGAGCTGTCCAGCGCAGGCAAATCCAGAGTCAGAAAGCACATGAGTGGCTGCCAGGGAATTGAGGGAGGCAGGAATGGGGAATGATTACTTAATGAGTACAGGATGTTCTTCTGGAGTGACGACAAAGCGCTGGACAGAGGTGACAGTTGTACAACACTGCGTGACTACATGCCACCAAACTGTTTGTCTTAAACTGGTTAATTTTTATGAGACGTGGATTTCACCTCAATGAAAAAAAAAAACAAAACTGAATACGCCTGCTTATCTGGTCTCCCTAAGGAAAGCTACAGGTTACAAAAGGAGAGATCTATATGAAACCAATACTAACAAATGGCCAGAATCCAGGATAAAAACCAGAATGCCTATAGCTCAGAAAGAAGCACACACAAAATCAGTGAAGAACAAACAAAAGCGCATTAAGGGCCTTTTCACAGAACAGGAAATATATGGAGAGATGCTCAACTTCTTATGTCATCAGAGATCCATCCATTGAAGTGACACCAAGACACCACACCATAGCCATTCAACTGGCAAAAATCATAAATTCTGGTAATGTAAGTATTGAAACAAGATGGATCCACAGACTACCTTGTTGCCCTGATGCTGGGAATGTAAGTTGGCATAACTGCTTTGGGAAAAATTAAACACACACGCCATGCCACCTAGCAACGCTCCACTAGGTATATGGAGGCAATAAAAGTCTGCTGACGCACCAGGGGACACGCAGACAAGAGCGCTCACGGGAGCTCTACCACAACAGCAAAAACCTTACGGATAAACTGTGATAGAGCTGCACGGTATCTCTCGGTAGTCAAATGGATGCACTGTGACACACGACACAGAGGAAGCTTACTAATGTCACATCAAGCAAAAAATTCCCCCCAAAATAACACGATTTGATTCATTTTTTATAAAGTTAAAAAAATATGTATTTTGTGTTTTTGTCTTTGAATACTATCTCTATGTGGATGTATGTATGAGATAAGACCATATACAAAGAAATTAAGAGAAGGACAAAACGAGACTCAGGACAGTGGCTCCCTCAGGTGGGAGGAAGCGGGGGGGATGTGACGGAAAAGGACCAGGGAGTGGATGTCAGTTATGGTGCATCCAGTTTTCTTGCTGGGTGGTGGGATCACGGATGCTGACCACTACAGATGGGTGGACAGAGAGAGAGGCAGAGCAATGGATACGCAAACGAGGGCCAGGTCCACGCATGGACCAAGGGTGAGAGTTATGTGTCATGATCACAACTAGTCCAATTCTAGGTACCTAAGGCCCCAAAGAAAACACAGAAATTTTAAGAGCTTAGCAAAAGAAATAAATTACAGATTAAGAATTTTAAAATACACTGAATTACATTTATTGAAGTAAATAGTATTTTATTATTTTTTAAAGATTTTATTTATTTGAGAGAGAGAGAACAGAGGGAGAGCGAGAAGGAGAAGCAGACTCCCTGCTGAGCAGGAAGCCCGACAGGGGACTCGATCCCAGGACCCTGAGATCATGACCTGAGCCGAAGGCAGACACTTAACTGACTGAGGCACCCAGGCACCCCTACTTTATTATTTTATTATTATTTTTTAAGTCGGTTCCATGCGAGGCTCCGTGGAGCCCAACACAGCGCTGGAACTCATGATCCTGAGATGAAGAGTCAGATGTTTCTCCAACTGAGCCACCCAGGCACCCCAGGAAATAGTACTTTAAGCAGAATACACCAAGTTTTAATCCTTTACAGACGGCCCAAGGAAATGGAAATGTATCTTTTCAACCTTAAACAGAATGTTAAAATGCTGAAGTTTGAGCTAGCTTACCTCTTCTTGAATATACTGCAGTAAGAAGGGAGAAGCTCTTAAATTATCAACAGGAATATTGAAGAAGCCCTGAATTTCCTTCTGGTGTAAATCCATAGTAATGAGATGAGTTAGACCTTTGGAAACAAAGCAGACACCAACACATGAATAGTTAAATAACCAGTCACAGGGTATGAACTAAGCATATATAAAATATGATACAATATATAATAGCTATTAAAAAATTCCTCTCTCATCAAAAAGACTCAGTATCTTTATTTTTCAGATTTTTTAGTTCAATGAGACTGTGAGAGAACAGAAAATACCTATAGTGGTCTCTGCCCCCTGGTTCCTGACACAGGGCTCCTAGAACCCTTGTGAATTCCTAAGTGATAAGAGCACTAAGAGCACCTTTTATTCTGATGAGGTGACTCCCGGTGGGCTCTTGGAGGGGGAAACCAAGAAAGACCAAGGCGTAATTAGAAGTTTGGAATTTTCAGCCCTCACCTCCTATTCTCCAGAGAGGGGAGAGGGGCTGGAAATAGAGTTAATGTTGATTGAGGAAAAAAAAAAAAAAAAAAGAAATAGAGTTAATATTGATTGAGGAAGCACAGGCTTCGGGGAGCTGCGAGGTTGGAGGTGAACAGGTGGAGATGCTGGGAGACTGGTGCATGGTGAGAGGTCACAGGCTCCGCAGCCCTCCCCACATCCTGTACCCCCTTATCTCTTCCATCTGGATGTTTGCTTGTATTCTTTATCGTATGCTTTTACGATAAAGTGGCAACCAGTAAGTGAACAGTTCTCCTGAGTTCTGTGAGCTGCTCTGGCAAATTAATCGAACCCGAGGAGTGGGTCCTGGGAACCTCCGATTTACAGCAGATTGGTAGACACACAGGTGACAACTCGGTCTTGCAGTTGGCATGGGGGAGGGGCTGTCTCGTGGGACTGAGCCCTTAACCTGTGGGATCTGACACTATCTCCAGAATTTAGTTAAACTACAGGATACCTAGCTGGTATTCTCATGGAAAATTGCTAAGTGTAGGGAAAACCCCCTACACACTTGGTGACCAGAAGTGTCAGAAGTGACATCTGTGTGTGAGTAGAAGAGACACTTGGGAGATGAATGGGCTTTTCCCTACTCAAAAGCGGAAGACTGAGTGATTTTCTTACACCAAGATACATGATTTTCACATCAATTTATAGTCTTAAAATAGCAAAGATAATAGTAATGAAGAAATGTCTCTCATAACTGGAAAAGTTTTAAAAAAGCAAAACCTGCCCAAAAGAGCAGGAAAGTCAACCTGGTGGCCCAGCCAGGATGAAGGCCAGGAGAGAAGAAGAGCAGAATCTTTCTGGAAGGTTCGGTGAGCTAGCCTGCTCCCTTCAGTCAGCTTTTAAAACTCTGAAGACTTTTCAACAGGTTACATACTGTTGAGGTTGCTGGGGTTCGGCTTCCATCAAATTTGGGTGTGTGGGTTTTCTTTCTTTCTTTTTTTTTTTTTTTTTGCCTGCTTTGGAATGCTACAGTAGAAACTTTATTCCACAGTAAGTGTCTGTGTTCAAATGCAGTGCTATGGGGGCTGTCTTGTCCTTTCCTCTCTGTGCCAGTGCTCTGGGATACGTGGACCTCTAGATTCCCATACACACACACACACACACACACACACACACACAGTAACGCTTCTGAAGGTTATAGAAACAAGGGGGAGACACTTAGGATGTGACCTGAAAATACACAACACAAAATAACACATATGGTTTGCAAAATATGCCAATCCATCCTGGACGAGACTAAAAGTTGTTGCCGTGTTAGAGTGCTTGGTTCCAAAAATGTCTTTTTCCCCTTCAAAAAAGACTTCAATGCAATTTTAACTTGTCATTTCAATGTAATTTTTTAAACAAAGACCTTTGTTTAAAAAATAAGTTGTTCTCCTTAACTTTGTGTTTTAGGGAGTTGGGAACAGGAGAGAATTCTCTGCACTGCTTTCTCATTATAAATTAGCTGTCTTTAAAAATGGTCCTTTTTCAGGGCGCCTGGGCGGCTCAGTCGTTAAGCGTCTGCCTTCAGCTCAGGTCATGATCCCAGGGTCCTGGGATCAAGCCCCGCATCGGGCTCCCTGCTCAGCCAGGAGCCTGCTTCTCCCTCTCCCACTCCCCCTGCTTGTGTTCCCTCTCTAGTTGTCTCTCTCTCTGTGTAAAATAAATAAATAAAATCTTAAAAAAAAAAAAAAGGTCTTTTTCTGCTTAGCGTTCTAATTTAGTTAAGACAAGGGGTTACAATGTCTAAGGTAAAAATCAAACGCCCAGGCCCAATAAATGTCAAGTATCTGCTGTTCTCACCAGCTTTGCACATCATCGAAGCCAGCAATTTAGAAACAATGGAGCCTCTTTTTCTCATCTTGCACTGTTTGCTGTAAGGAAAGTAGGGTATCACGCCGATAATGCTTTTGGCACAAGAGGTCTTACATGCGTACACCATGATCAGGAGCTCCATGATGGTGGTGTTCACGTCCCTGCATCCCAAGAACGTAAGACACATGATTAATATCTCCCTGTCCCCACAAAGTGGCAGCAGTGTGCTCCTCGCGCCCCTACCGGGACCTAAGGCTCAAGACACAGAAAAGGCATGAACATTCCCTCACGCCGATGACCCTAGTTCCTTTTTCCCTGAAAGAAGAACCTAGTCAGAAGGGAGAGGTTCTATGGGCTCCCACCGCCATGTGCAGCCGCACCCCACAAGTCGGCCTGTCCTCCGCCATCAGAGACAGACATTCCACACCAAAGTTACTCTGCAATTAGCCCTCCCGATGATGCCCTAACCAGCCCCCGCCCCCCCACTCCCACCCCCAGGCTACTGGAAGATAGGGCTCCAGCCATTCTCCCTCTCTTGTGTCCGCCATCAGCTTGGTACCCTCCCCTGGCTTGTACCCATCGGCTTAGAAGCATTGTTCTTCCATTAGAAACGACTGGTGGCCACTCTTCCCACTGCCCTGTTTCTTTGCTCCCCTGTGTGTACATCTCAAGAGAGCTGTCTACGCTCACCATCTCGCTCTCTCCCAAACACATGCCAATCCAGGTCATCCATGACCTCCATGCGCCTAGATCCAAGGACAATTCTCCTGCTCCTCTCACCTGAGCTGCGGGCAGCAGCTCCCACGGCTGCGCACCCTGCTTGACCCACCTGGCTCCTAGAACTTCCTCGCTGTTCTCCTGTTCCGCCCTACTTGGCTTCTTTGGCTGGTTCCCCTCCTCCCCACCTTCCTGCCCAACACTCATTCATGTGCGCCCCCTTTGGCCTCCCCTTAGCCCTTGGGCTTCTCATCTAGTTTCACAGCTTTCTAGAAGCTGGAGGAGACTCCAGGTCACAGCCCCAGGCCAAGCTTCTCTTCTCAACTCCTGTCCAGCAACATTTTTAGTGTCCTAAAGTGAAAGATAAGATGTATCTGACAACATCAAATCTCAACGTTAACTATTTCATAAAGACCCCGATGGCCAGGCTCTCCGGCAACCTGGCAAGACTAAGAATCCCTGAGTTCACACAAGGTCACGGTTCAGGACAATGCAAAATGAGACATGCAGACAGTTTTAGCTAAGGGAATAAGAAACCAACAAGAGGCGGGGCAGAATGATAAGTGTTGAAATAAACCAAAAAGAAAGAAAAGGGACAGGGGCGCCTGGGTGGCTCAGTCGGTTAAGCGTCTG